GAGTAGTAGAACTTAGAGATCTTATAGTAAGAACTCCTTACATTTTTGAGAATTTACAGGGTTCTGGAAGAAATGTGCTTATTCCAGATCCCATAGCTTGAGTTGGGATTGGCACCCAGACCTCCTGTCTCCATGTTCCTGTTTCTTACCTGAGGCTAGAATAGAGCCCAGCCCCTTTGTGTTCCATGGGAATAAGTCTTCCTATTATGAGTTTTAAGGAGCCCTGGTGGCACTGTAAGGTAGGCGTTGTGTTCCTAACTGCAAGGTTGGCAGTTCAAACCCACCCATCATTTCATGCGAGAAAGGTAAGGCTCTGTCTGATCAGAATTGACTAATGGCAATCGGTTTTGGGTTATTTGTTTTGGATAAAACCTGATGGTCTAAATTTAGATCTTAGACAAAGGAGTGTGGATATGAGCATGCACAGATCTAAGGATGGAAAGAAAGTACTGAAGGGAAGAAGACTTAGAGCAATCTTTTTTGACGCTACACACAGAAACACATTTCAATTTATGTAGGGGCATAATATATAAACATATACAAGTATATACCTGAACAAAAATTCTATGAAATTACAAACAGGCAGTGCAGAAAAAAAGCCCCCTTTCCCTACTTACCTGGGTTCTTTGCCTGCCCCACACCATAGTTTCCTTTTCTGTAAAATTGGGGCTAGTTAGAGGAAACAGTGTTCTTGGTGGAGGGGCTGACATATAGTAAGCATTCACTCTTAATAGTATTGTGCTGTGGAGTCAGTTCCAACTCATAGCGACCCTGTACAGGGTTTCTGAGACTGTAAATCTTTACGGGAGCAGAAAGCCTCATCTTTCTCCCACGGAGCAGCTGGTGGTTTCAAACTGCTGACCTTGCAGCTCACAGCCCAATTCGTAACCACTACACTGCCAGAGCTCCTTCTTAATAGTATAGTAGCTATAATTTTTTTTTAGTAATGTGGATGCCCATGATACCCTAGTATGTGGTCTTTGTAGGGTGTGGATTTGAGTCATTTGTTCTAAGTTGCCCACATCCATCTACACCACCTATTCTGTGTCCTCTGGACCATCAGCATGTACTGTTCTCCTCCTTGGCCCTGGCGTATGTAGAGCTTGTTGGCCCACCAGAAGGAGTTCCTTTTGGTAACAATCAGTATTGTTAATTGCTGTGGCATCAGTTCTGATTCATGTCAACTTTAAGTACAACAGAACAAAACATTGCCAGGTCGTGTGCCATCTTCCTGATTCTTCCAACCTATGTGACTCATCTTCCAGCATTACATCAGAAACAAACTGTTCTCTTGTGATCCTTAAGGATTCTATTGGCTAGTTATTGGGAAAAGATCACTAGGTCTTTTTTCCTAGTCTGTCTAAGTCTGTAAAACCCCACCACGGGTGACCCTGCTGGTATTTGAAATACTAGTGGCCTAACTTCTAGCCTCATGCAGTCCACCACAGTGAGACTTATGGGTGCTGAAACAACCACAGACCCCACC